TTATGAGGCTTTTGCATAGAGTGATGCCCCCCAAAAGACATTTTCTAGTCCTGTGGAATACGGTGTTATGAGACACTGTATCTGCACAGTAGTTTCCTGACACAAAATTACAGAAAAAAGGCAACTGGATTTATAGATCTGTTCCGAGATGCAAATTCACTGTGGCCTTTACATTAATAAACATATAAGCTGGCCACATACGCTGCATTGACTTTGTCAAGACATATCTTATTCAGAATTTTAATGTGATATAGAAATGCATCAATTAGCATATAAGAAATTACTTTGGCTTATTTTCTTTTGAAAATACATGTGCTGATGGATATGATTTATGTCAGAAATGACATTATAATGTTACTTAGGTTAAGAAATACAGGATCTACTTGTCAGTTTGTTTTCTTTTTCTTTTCTTTTCTTTTCTTTTTTTCGTATCAGGGATGGAACTCAGAACCTTGCACTTGGCAGGCAGGTGCTGTGCCATGAGCTAAACCCCTGGCTTTAGATTCTTTTTGATTCAAATGTATAATCTGCCTTGACAAACAACAAATTACAGTAAAAAGAATAAATAAGTAAGAGAAAACTAGTGGCATTACGTAAAATAAGTGTACTTTGTTATGAAGGAAATATAAATAGGGAATGGTTGGAGGAGATTCCCTTGACATTAATACAACCATATTAGCGAACAGCTGTGGCAATAGAAAGAATAGATATGATAGGTTAAAAAGAATCAGGAAAGTAAAGGAGTTCCCTAAAGAAGGTATCTACTCCTGATCAAAGAAACTGATACCTGCTAGTGTTTTCTGCCACCCTATGGTGGGGAAGAGAACTCTGCTGGTGTCCTCTGAGTGGCCACTGTAAACCCTAAATCGTGTTTCCTTGGTAAGGTGACAAAGATGCCTGCTCACGTGCTATAGCCTGGTGGGAAGTGGAGCAATCTGAGAAGTAGAGGGAGGACACCTAGCAGAAAGCCAAGCTTTGCAGGTGGACTCTGATCTCAGCTCTCCAGCAATCCAGTCACAATAATAAATAAGGAAGGAAAAACCAAAGTTTCAATGTTGCCATTTCCTCCTACTCTAAAATTGCCACTAAGACTTCAAACCTGGGGCTTGAGCAGGCTTTTGATTTGTGGTTCTCAGAAGGGGACAGCTGATTAGAGACTATCTCTGTGGTCAGTCCACTGCTCCAGGTGGCACTCACCCTGTAATCGCACAGGGTGCACCCGCCTGTGCCAGCTCTACACCACGCTGACAGCAGGGTGGGCAAAGGGGTGGCTTCTGCTGGAGGGAGGATCCACTTGAAAACAACCCAGGGATTCTTGCTGGGTCCTGCAGCCTGAGAAGTGAAGACTGTCCAGCCTCATACAGACTCACGGTGCCAGGCCCTGGCCTAGCAAAGCACACACTTGGTCATATGGTGCCCATGAGACCGAGACCGCATGTCTGGAACCCAGTCTTACAAATAAACCATGTTTTTTTTTTATATATGAAAACATTTTAATTACAAAAGTAATACTCTCATTGTAGCCAGTTAGCTCCACACAGGCAGATACAGGACACCTTTCCTCCTCAACCAGCCCCAACTCAGAGCCACACATAGCCCTGGACATTTGGTGGACTCTTGTGACCTAGTCTCTGACCACACAGCTGCACTAGGGACAGAGGAGATCACAAAAGAGAAGAGGGGAGTTCTAAATCAGACTCTGCTCTTCAAGTAAGCAGTTTTCTCCCTGCAGGTCACAGCTACATTCCTCGGGAAGACCACACTGGTTCCAACAAACCTTTGAAAATGAGAGAAACGTGGTAACAAGAAAACCAGACGGAACATGTCATCGCATTCCAGGTTTGCAAAAGAGATGTCTGAGACAGGTTGGCCCTACAAGGCTCACTGTCTCCACAAAATGCCCAGAGCATCCACATTCTAAGCAACACTGAGCTCAGGTGGGCACCCTGAACAAATGCGACATCCCTAGTCCTCTGACCCGTGCTGTGCCATCAAAGTCAAACCACAACTTCAGCTGTAGAGCTTAAAATGAATATCCTCCGGCAATGTGCTGACTTTCTCTTCCGGATTTCCTGAGGTTTCCTTTATTAGACTCGAGTCCAGAACTATCTTGGAAAAGGCTCTGGGTACCTCAGCTATGTGAGAACACACAGATGAACTAATCAGCACTTCCCAGCTCTGAAAACCAGAGCTCCACCTGGGAAAATCAGCAGTTCACTTGCAAAGTCATGCAAGATGGGCCAGGCCTCATTTGCCAGACAGATCCAACCTTATTCTCACAGTCTTTCAACTGCACGGGATAAAATGAGGTGAACCCTACACTGTATTTTTTTTGGTACCGGGGATTGAACTCAGGACCTTGTGCTTGCAAGGCAGGCAGTGGAACCACTGAGCTAAATCCACGGCTCCCCACACTGCATTTTTAAAAAGTAACTTGTTCCCCTTCATGTCACCAACTTTCATTTGCTGTCATCCCAAAATAAAATCTGAGAAGTTTTTAGTGTCCACATGCAGGCACGAGACACATTCCTTTGGGCCCACACTTGGGGGTGATTTATCAGCACCCACTTATATAGAGAGAGGAAGGGTGCAAAGCAGGAGACTCTTAGTGTTCCCAATGTCCATGTGTGCTGCAGGAGACAGCAGAACTCAATGCCGTGTAGGACGGGCGTGGTCCCCACAGTGCGCCCTGCCTGGCAGGTGTCTTTGCAGCACAGATGCACAGGTTTGGCTTGGTTTTCACTACACCTATACTTTACTCTAGTGCATAAGGGAGGAGTGGTGCCAGCTTCCTACTGCTGTCCTGTCTCCGGGGAAAATGCCCTCTCGGGGTGTGTGGCTGCCCCAGCTCCACTTCCTGTCATTACATGGCAGCTGACAGAAGTACCATTCACCATAAAACTACAATGAAGCCTAAGGTTACACTTGGTTAATATTTCACTTTAAGTAATAACCAGCTGATTTAAAGAAGAAACCTGAGCACCCTCTATGAAGAGAAGATGTGGGCTCAGAAGGTAACCTGTGGCCAGGGAAGGGGACACTGGAGTTCCTGGGAGGCTGTGATGACCCTGGTGGAACAAGTGAGACCCCAAGACCAGGTCTGGCACAGGTGACACAAGTCACACAGCCAGCGAGTAGCCCAGTAAGCCTCTCCTCCAAATCACAATCCTTACCCTGGGCTTGCCTGGACCCCACACAAGTCCAACCATGCCCTTGCACCTCTTTCTGCACACGGTCCCCAAAGAGGACACTTGACCAGAGCACCTCACTCTTGGTGGGTTGTTCTTGGGGGGCTGCCTTTTGTGGGGTGCTGGACAACGCCCACTCCCCACTTGGGATGTCATAGAACCCACATGGACAGTGTGACAAATAAAAGTCCCCAACCATTGCTCATGTTGTCAAGGGGTCAAAACTGCCTGGTCCAAAATCTTTGCATTCAGGAAAAGCTGCCATCTAGACATGGCCTTCCAATGGACTGGACTAGCAGCTGACCGTGGTGGGCGAGGTGTTAACTCTGCCAGCACAGGACCAATGAAGAACTATCAGAGGGCATGGGGCACCAGGTGCCCACAGGATACCAGATGGCCTCTCCTCCTGGTTTCCAGAAGAGCTTGACAAAGCCATGACTTTCAAGCCACATCCAGCAAGCAGAAGGTGACTGTCTAGAGACCACACTGCTTATGCTAGGGAGGCAAAGTCCCAGAGAAATGCTGGGAAAGGGCAAACCTCCCCCGACTGGGCTATTGCCCGCCCTAAGGACTGCTGCCTTGTTCTACCTGTCACTTATCCTCATGACAACAGGCACCTTGAGGGGACACATTAAGACCAAACACAGGTGTGTCTGCGATGCTGGCCCTGCTTTCCCTAGGGGACTACAGCTTTGAGACTCACAGGTAGAACCACTTAACAGTGAGCCCGCCCCTCTAGCCCTGTCCCCACTCTCCCCTCGCTCCCAACAGAAGCGTCACAGCTTAAGGGATGCAAGGGCCACGTGGGAGAAGTAGGCATCCTGTCTGCAGAGCTGCTGGGACAGGAAGAGAGCTGCCTCGGGGAGGTAGGGCCTGAGTAGGCAGTGACCATGAGTGGCGTGGAATTTACATCCAGTGGCAAGACCAAAATGCTGCTCTCACTCAACGGAGCAATCACAAATAACCAAGGACCAATCTTGAAAATAAAACATCTCTTATTTATGCTGAGTCTCCAGACTGGAAAATGCATCACACAGCACGTGTTTGCGTGCATGGTGTTTGTGTACATGCATGTCCTTGGGGACATGTATAGGTGTGCACAGTAATGTGTCCACCCATTATGGCTCAATTTCCTGAGGCAGAGTGGAATGCTCACTCCCAAAAGCCTGAAACACCAGGTATTCCCACAAATGTGTGGCCATGCCGGGAAGTTCCTCTCACACCTCCTGTAGTTTGTCAAGTCTTGGAAAGCTTTCCTGACCTCCCTGATCATGGTTGCCAGTAGGGTATAAGACGCATGTGAAGGTAGAACCCACCCACAAGGACAGCACACAGACCCCAGTCCCTGCCTGCATCACTCACACCATCCCCAAGGGCACTTGTGGCACTTTTCATACAAAGCCTCAGAAGAAGAGGTTAATCCCAAACAGCATCTGTGATGAGCACATCCGGAAAAGCAATAGGTTTGCATCATTGCCTTTGGTGACCTTAGAAAGTCACCCACCTCAAACTGGGTATGGTAGTGCACACCTATAGTCCCAGCACTTGGGAGGCTGAGGCAGGAGGATTGCTGAGAGTTTGACTCCAGCGTGGACGATATATTGAGTTCAAGGCCAGTCTGAACTACATAGTGAGACCCTGGCTCAAAAAGCAAACAAAAAAAAAAAAAGTCATCCACCTCAGACTGACATCCAGAGTCTGTCCCATCTCAAGTTTACCCCAACGGTGCAGAAGAACACACTGCACAGCATCTGCAGAGCCCCACAGTATTTAACACATTAAACAAGTTTCCCAACTAGCTATGAAACCTGCCTTCTGTAAATGATGCCTTGCACATTAGCCAGTGATGCTGGAATTCTGAGGAACCAGTTCAGGAGACCTGCATACTCAGGGAACCCCACAGAGCACCAGAATCGTGGAGCTCCTGTGGCCTGGTCTCATCACTTGAAAATGGGCAGAGCTGAGTTCACAAGCCGCTGGTTCAAGGTGGCTTCCAAGAGGGAGCCACCTGGCTTGAGGCTGGCGGTGCCACCCATGTCGGTCCTGGTGAAGAGAAAGCAAAGTACATTTTCGGGGGTCTGTGACCATGTGCCCAGCTCTGCCACCCACCTCAAACTCTGGACCTGGGAACAGCACAAGGAAGGGAGAAGAAGCTTCCCTGGAAAAAATTTGGAAGTGCATTCCATGAAGCATAAGGACTTTAAAGTCAAGTCACTTGACAAAAACACAATGAGAAGTGGTTGTTTTCTTCCCATGTGACCCTCATTTCCACTCAGGACATGCTAAACACATTCCTGGGGCCCAAGGCCGAGAAGCTTTCTCCAAATGCTGAAGGCAGCGATGCCCGGGCAGGAAATGATGAAGGGTGAAAGGAATGCCAGTATCCAGACGGATGGGACAGCTGAGGAGCCAGGAAACCACAAGGCCTCCCGCTGCCTCTGGGTTCCCCTGGGAGCTCCTGCTGTACAGCCACAAGAGCAACACCAGCAAGCCCCTACCCCAAAGCACTGGTCTCCCCACCCAAATTCAGCCTAGGTGAGCAGAAGCTCCCCACACCAGCCACACAGTTACGATAGAGGGAATTCCACCCTCCAATTCCAAAGACAAGCAGTGCCTGGCAGCTCTCTGCTCCCAGTTCGCATCAGCTCACTTTGTCTGGGCCCTGATCATTTCCTACTGTCTGCTGTGACTTGAACTCCACCAGTTTCGAGAGCACATGGCCTGGTGGTCTGGCCTGCTCACTGCTTATGCCCAATAGCCACTGAGTGCACAGGTTGGAAGCATGAAGGCAGCAAAGCCACAAGGAAAACTCTGGATCTAAAAACAGAAAGTGTGTAATACAAATAAAAAATATTTTCAAACACAGGCAACCATAAGAACCACCTGAGAACGCAGATCTCAAGCTGTGGAGCGATGAGGGCAGGTGCCTCCAGCACCAGGACCAAGGGGACCCCCAACACAAGCTCAGAGTCTGCCAGGGTCAAGCCTTACAGCAGGTGTGGCACAGCCCCAGCTTCTCGATTAGGAAAGGAGATAAAAGACTGACTGAGAACCGGGACTGTTTCCATCTCAGCAGATCTCACATGCCTCAGCCCAGCAGGAACGTGGTGAGACCCCCACGCCCACCCACAGCAGCACTGTGCAGACCACATAGCCCCTCAGCCTGAGAGCCAGCCTGGGCATGCACCTGCATGTGTGCATACGTCTTCATGTATACTCACAAACACATTATGATAGGATGTAAGACGGGAAAGACCCCCCAAGAAACTCCAGAGACACAGCATGGCGACTGTCCAAGGAAAATCATACCCAGCACGGGTTCCAGGCAAGGGTGACCCTGGTTGTGCACCTAGGAGCCTCTGGTGAGTGCAGAGAAACATTTGACTGTGGGTTCCTAGGTCAGAACTGCTCATGGCTGTCAACGTCATTCCTGTAACTAGACCACATAGATGTCCTGGAGGCTCAGAGGCTCATGAGCAGGTATCTTTGGGTTCATTCTACCTCAAAGTTTCTTTTTCCCTCCTCTGCACCCTAGCCCAAGGCCATATCCTCCCTGAAGGGACCTAGGGCTCTGCCTGTGGGGTGCCCCTGCTCAGAGGAAGATCAGCCAAATCCTTAAGTCTAGCAGTAGGAGTCACGGAGATCAGCATGGGGGGTGAAAAGCTAGCATCATTCCCAGGCCCAGGAGCCCCGTGCTAGCCCAGCACAGCTCCCAGAGAAGGCTGAGCCTGCCAGGAGGGGCCTGGAATTCCCCAGCTCAGCTCTCACCCCAAGGCCTTGGGAAAACCATTATCCCACACCAGGCTATGAGCAAGAATCCAGCAGGGCCAGGGCCCCTGGAATGTTACACAGATGAGTTTTCCAAAACCAGCTCATGTTCCTAGACCTCTGCTAATAGCTCCATACCCCGGTCTGAACCCAGCCTTGGAAAACCCCAAATTCACTGGGACCAAAACAAAGCAGATGTCCAGAGGCTCAGGGCAGAATCATCCCCAAAAGCCCGAGTTGAAAAGCTCAAGGGGCAACTTGACAACACACGCAAAAAGGGCCACTCCTGGAACACAAAGACACTGTCATCATAGGACAGCATGACACTGTGCTACAGGTCTGCCCGACCGTGGCTCTGAGGCATCAAGTGTGACATTGGGAAGGCCACCTCATCTCTTGGGGCCTCCAAGGAAGTGCTAAGAACATGTGCCTGTGTATGTAGCGTGACCATGGCCACCACACTGCCTCCAGGAGGCATTCATGAGCCAGGCCTGATGCCAGGGCCGCAGGCAGGAGGTGAGGGTATAAAATCTAAGCAAATTTTCCAAAAATGGGCAGAGAATGAAGAGAGAACCACAGAGCTGAAGAGGAAAGTGAAACCTGTGTCCTCAGGAGGAGCAGAACCCACACACAACAAAGCCAGAGAGTGGCAATGTCCCAGGCTCATGAATAGCAACTGTCATGGTCACTCCCTGGGCTTCCCAACTCTAAACAAAGACCAGTGGGAACCTCACACAGAAGCAGAAGCTGGTCCAGCTCCCAGCATAGAGCGTGGGCAGCCAGCTCCTGCAGCTTACCAGATATGCCTGCTTTCTGCCCTCCTTGGAAAGCTCAACACTGGAATCAGCAGTTCCCAGACAGCCTGCCCCAGCCTGCCCACTTATTGAAGGGTCGCTCACTTTTATTCTTGTATTTGTGTAGGTAGAAATAAAATTAAGAGGACAAATGACTTCAAATTATATTAGAAATGACACCTATCTATAGAGATCTGAGCACATGCACAATACATAAATCTTCCAGAAAGGCCTCACCAACTGTGGTCAGTCACCCGCCTCCTCACTGGTGTACCCATGAGCCACCCCGCCCACCTCCATGTCACTCAGCCATCTGGACTTTCGCAAAATTTACTCCTCATGCTGTGCACACAGCCACCAGAAGCTCCCATTTCACTGGTGACTTTATCCAGCCAACCTGTCCACTTCTTTTCCAAACACACAGCACTGCCTTTAAAACATGATGTTTGCTGGGCATGGTGGCACCTGCAATCCCAGCACTCAAGAGATAGAGGCAGGAGGATTGCCACACTTTGAGGCCAGCCTGAGCTACAGAGTGAATTCAATCCCAGCCTGAACAACATAGAGAGACCCTGTCTCAAAGTAAATAAATAAAATTTTTAAAGCACAATGTTCAACACCTTCAGCAAAAAGCAGGTGACTCACTTAGCCTGTGCGTGTGCATGTGCATGACCTTGTGCATGTCCATATGTGTGCGTGTATGTGTGGTTTATGCACTCAAACACCTCACCAGCTTCACAGAACCAGTGCTGTGGTCCATTCAAATGACCTCACCCACAGGTCACCATGGGGCCTCTGCAGCCCAGGCCAGTGCCAGGTTCTCCTATGTGTCAGAGGGCTGGGGTGGCCAGAGGGTCTATTCAAAGAACCACCCCTTCCTGTCCTTGCACCCTTGGTCAGCGAGGCCAAGCCTCAACCTCCCCCATCAGCACTTTGCCCTGCTGTCCGTGCACATGGCCCACAACCCCTTCCTTCTCATACTAGATGTCAGCTGCCTCTTGTCCCCAAAGCCTTCTCTCTCTCCCAGCCCTCCACTGTCCCCTACCCAGACTGGGGTAAGAAGGCAGGCAGCTCCCTACACTGATAGGCAGCATTGAGAGGAGAGAGGACGCTGGCCTAGCTTCCATTACTAGGCAGCCTGGGACAGGTTGTCCTGTGGGTCTCCTTTCTTCAACATCAGTATCATGACACTGAACACCCCATGCCCATGCACAGCAAATCCAAACCCTTCCTAAGTGGAATTGGGAGCAGCTGCAGGCTGCAGCCACCCTGGGTGGGGCCTTCACAGCTCCAGCAGAGGTGGCCCAGCCTAGCTCACCAGTCCTTAGAGATAAAAATAGCTTTCACTCTACTGAGCCCTGTTAATAGAAGATCCAAGTTAATTTTAGCATCAGAGCACTCAGGAGAATCTAAAATCTCTGATGCCAAGCACTAAGAATGGCCAGCACGACCACTTCTTACACACAGTGACACAAGGAAGCAGCAGGATTACTAAGGTCACTGCCTGGATTCACAACACCACTCCTCTCTGAGTCCAGCCTTGGCCAGGGGACACTGCTAGGAAAAGCATTCTAACCTATTACAGTGGACCCTCCCCATCTGCAGGTCACACTTGTGTGATCCTCACAACATTCCAGGGACGTGCACATTGTCATCCCATGAGGAGCAAGCCAGGCTCAGGTGCCAACCATCACCCAAAGAATCTGAGCCCTGAGCTTCTACCTGGGAATCCTCCTGGGACCCCACTGCCTGTCTTGAGATCCTGCTTGATGGCCACCATCCCATTCTCTGCCCTCTGGGTTCTTCCTGCTCCATCTGAGATTTTGTTTGCCATTAGGCCAGAGAGGCAGACCAGCCCCCAACAGTCTGCCACAGCCATGTTTTGCTGAATGGGAGGAGTTGCTGCTCTTCCTCACAGCCAAGTTCTAACCTCATAGTAAAGGAGCACAAAACCTCTGTGACCAGCAGGCGCTGAGACCCAGGAGGATAGGAGTAGTCAGAGACCCAGAGAGTGGGACAGCAGAGAGGAGAGGGAGGCACAGTGCAGCTCCCCACGACCCCAGAACAGACCTGATGCTGCCTGCGCCTCCACAGAGGGAAAATGAACAGTCACAGTCACAAAGGCACAAGAGAACTTTTCACCAAGGCTGGCCTGATAGAAACACCTTTTCATACTGTTCTTCACTAACCATGCTTACCAAGATAAGATGGCACTTTAAAACCAAGAATAAACGTACAAAAGGAAAATGTGACTGGGAAGTAAATACACTGCAAGGCCCAGGGAGTGCTGGGCCAACTGACACGCCGCAGAAGAACCCCGCCTCAGTAGTTCCCCCTCACAGACTGTCCGGACACCAGACTCCACACACTTCCTCAACCCAGAAACCTCAAGGAAGCCCTGGCCAGCCACCATGATACTGTCATAACAAA